GATTTAAAAAGCATTAAGCTTCCTCTCATGTTTCTTTCTCTGTTTCTGAAATATTCCAGGCAGGACACCAGAGTGGAAAAAGAAATAGAGTCTCTGAGACAAGAGAGAGGGCGAGTAACAAGTTACAAGAGGATTAAGGACCAGATTATGGTTCTCTCCTTGTCCACTGCTCCTCAGAAAGAAGAGAGAACATCCCAGATGGAAGCAGAGTCTGCAGAGCCTCTTCCACCTCCTCCTGCTGCAGCAAAGCCTCGGCAGGGCCCAGCTGGCCCCAGGTGCTGCAGGAGCAGATGATCCTCTCACACCAGCTGTGAATTCCTGACGAGTTCACCGGATGACACAAATTGCCAAAGCACTGAGCTAATGGGAACGTTTTCTTCCCAGCAAAGCCTCCCCCTGATCCTCTGTGGAAGGTCAGCAGCTGGATCTGCAGCGATCCATCACCCTGCAAGTAACAATGACCTGACCAACATCAGGAGCTCCACAAGTAACTCCAGCTGCTCCCCAGCCTGGGCCTTGGAGCCCACTGGAGCATCTGAGCCTCCCACGGCAGAGCTCCCAGAACTTGGGCTTTTAGAGCTCTTTTCTAAGCTGTTCCCTGTGGGAGTTTCTACCTTCCAGACTCACTTTGTCGAGGTACACCAGAGAACTCTCACCTTCCACACACAGAGCCATGGAAATCCATGCCCAGCTTCCCAGTACAGAGCCATTCTTTCCTTTTTCTTTTTTTTCTCCCACAAAGTAGGACTAAGTCAAGCAAAGGAAACACCTCCCACTCAACACCCCCAACTTCTTACAGCATCTCGAAATTCCTTGGTGGGTATTCATCCAAAAACGGCCCCGATTCAACCCAGTTTCACTTATCCACTGTGACAGGGACACAGCAGGAGACAGCACGGGCACAGACCCCGCTCCGAGCTTTTCAGAGTCATTACTTATTAAATGCTGAGGAATAAAGTGAGCTGTTTTGAGCACTTACACTGCCCTGGGGCTGATTATCCTTGCTGCCAACTGGCCACCGTGCCCGGCTCAGGCTGGCACAGATGAAGCAGCCACTGCTGCCCCAGACTCTTGGCCTGTTTCTGCACAGAGGAAATGCCCCACACATCAGTTATGAGGGGAAAAGCAGCAAGTAGGTACCGAGAGCCAGGGAGAGTCACAGGCCCTGGCACAGGCTGCCCAGAGAAGCTGGGGCTGCCCCGTCCCTGCAAGTGTCCAAGGCCAGGCTGGACGGGGCTTGGATAGTGGAAGGTGTCCCTATCCATGGCAGGGGGTGTGACTGGATGGGTCCCTTTTCAAGGTCCCTTCCCACCCAAATCATTCCACGATTGGGTAGAAAAATAGGTCAAATGTTTCAGTATCACATTGCAGAGGAGTTTGTGCCAATAATTCTGTGGAGGCTCATGAAAAAGTGACAGGAAGTGGCTTCCCTCTGACCTCCCCTGGAGGAGATTCCCCTGCTTCCAGCTGGAGCTCTGTGCCTGGAACAGCAGCTGGACTTTTTATTGCTGACACCAGCCCTCACACCTCATCCCCTTCCCTGTCACACCTCAGGATTTACAAATCACTGAGCAGCTCTCACCTCACCTTAACTGTTCCCATCCCTCTCTACCTCCCACAGCTACAACAGCTCACAAGGAATTACGAGCTCCTTCCTCACTGCTCTAAATCCTCCTCAAATCCTCTTCTGCCCTGGCTTCACGGGAGGGATCATGGAAACCTGGGCTGTCCCTGATGCTCTTGGTGAGCTGAGGAAACCCCAGCGGGGTTCAGCCCTTTGAACCCTACCTTGAACCTGCCCCAGCCCCACAGCTCCAACCTCCCTCTGTGCCAAGGGCCATCCCAACACCTCGGGAGTGCTGAGAAACCCTCACAAATAACAGATTTAGAACCTCAAACTTCCCGTCCCCTTCTCCACACAGACCTCCGGGACCTCAGCACGTACCGACAGCACACGAGAGCTTTGAAACATCCACAAATCACGAAAATAACAGGGATAATCTGCCAGCTGGAAGCTGCAGCCCATTGTTTTCCCATCAGAGCTGCCTGGAACGACCCACTTGAGAAACACTTAAGGAACACGTGTTCAAGGACTCACTGCAGAGCTGGAGTGGTGATGGGCCATGTCCGGGTGACAGTGACAACTCTGCTCCAGTGGGAAGGGTGCCTTGTAACTCCCTGCAGCAGCTTGATTATCCTGCAATCCAGATTTCCTTCTAAATTTAAGCCAAGTTGGGAGGCCACAGAGCTGCCCAGGACACAGCTCATGGCCCCTGTTCAGCAGGTTTTAAGGAGGGGCTGTGGGGAGGAGCCAGACCAGGTGCCCTGGGATTGGCACATCCCAGGAACTCATCACACCTGGGATGGGCGTGGTGCAGCCCCGGCTAATCCATCCCCCTGGGATTCCCCCAAGGACTTGTCCAGGAGTCCCTCTGGTGGAAAAATGCCTTGAAACAAGCCTGGCTGAGAGTTGAGGGTGTCCCTTCTGTCCCCAAGAGCCCTGAGGTGACACTGCAGGTGCCACAGCCCCACGTTGTTTCCACAGGAGGATGGGCCCGAGCCCAGCCCGTGGATGCTGCCAGCCCTGTGTCTCTCGAGGCAGGAAAAACACCTGGAAAGATGACATTTCCCTCTGACAGGGAAAACTTTGAGGATCCCAAAATGTTATTAACAGGCCCAACCTCGCCTTAAAGGAGCAGCTGTTTGGAAATGATCCCTGGGCTCAGCAATGCCTGGCTTGGATGAGGGACGAGAGGGAAATCCCCGGGGAGTCCGGAGGGGAGCGTGCGAGCGGCTGAACCGCCGAGCTCTGAACCACAGGCACGGGAAGTGCTGCTGTGATTTTTAGCTCTGCTTCACTTTCCTACCCACTGAAATCAAATTTCCTCCTGCCCAAGCCCAGTGACCACATGTCCTGCCCAGCAGCTTCCCTGGAACCACTGGCACTGTGGGATTAGGGAGCGCTGTGCAAGCAGCGAACGGGGATGATTTGTTATTGGCAGCAACGTGGCTGGAAATGGGTGTTTGTGGAGGGAAAATAAAGAAATAAAGTCCCCGAGTGAAAGGCCGGTGATGAAGTGTAGCCCGGCTCTAATCCCAGTGTAAACACTGCCATCGCTCCTAATTATTGATAAACATTTTTCTAATTGTGGAAATTAAACAATTAGACATCCTTCCTTCCCTCTTGGAAATCTAATCAGCCCAAAGTTCAGGATGCAGCCTGGAGCTGCCGCTGCAAAACACGCTGCACTCACAGGCTGGGAAAAAGCAGGCTTCTCCCAAAACCTTCTCCCAAAACCCTTCTCCCAAAACCCTTCTCCCAAAACCCTTCTCCCAAAATGCCCCCCAAAGCTCCCCCAGCCCTGGCCCCGTTGTTGAGAGGACAGATCCATGGGCAAGGTGTCAGACAGCCTGGAGGCTTCCCAGGAGCACGGCTCTATCCCTGCATTCCCAGGGATTTCAGGGCCAGGCAGGCAAAGAGCCGTCCCTGCCGGGAGGATTCAGGTCGTAGCTCTTGCCCCAGTGACACATTTCCCTCCATCCTGGAGAGGAGAGCAGGGAACGGACGGGCAGAGCTCCTTGGAAGTTAATAACGGAGCTTTACCGGCACGGGAACGCCGAGGAAGGAGGTCACGCTGCCAATGCTCCTGCTGCTGATCCCTGCGGATAAATCCGCATCAGGAACGAATTACCCCGAGAGGGGGATTAAGGGGGATGATTCTAATTCCTCGCTGAAGGAGAAGTGTTTTTAACGCTGAGCCCCTCACAGCCACCGACACCGAGCACTGGCTCCCGCTCCCGGCAGGATCTGACCCACGGGACCTTTCTGTTGGAAAGAGGGGATGAGAAAAATCCCTTCCTGGGATGTGAGCCTCCATCGGGCTGCAGTCCCACACCCCCGCCACCCCAAGATCCCCCAGCACCCGGGCTCAGCCACAGGCACCTGAAAATATCCATCTAATCCCAGTTTTCAGTTCTTCCTCATTCCTTGCCACACGGGATTAAATATCCAATAGTACTGACAGCCTAAATCCAACACAATTCCATCCATCCCAGACCAAGTTACTTTCCCAAAGCTTACTGCAGACTTTTATGAGGTTTCTTATACATTTTATCCCCCGTACACCCACATGGACCAGCAGCTGTTCCACAACCAGCCAGACTCCTGGAATGCATCTCCTTTCCCCCGTGCTCGTTAGCGTGGGCTGTAACGAGCCCCATGGTTTCCATCCGAGTAATTCCACAGGCAGGGTCTGGGAATTATCAGGCACCAGAGCAGGGCTGGCCCTGGAGCACTTGGTGTCATCCAGCCCCGTGGGGGGACACCGGCAGCACTCCAGGGGGATGAGGTGGCAGCCGGGGCCACGTGTCCTGCGTGTCCCCCAACCCTTCCCAGCTGCTCCCGGAGCCGCAGGAGGAGGATCCCCAGGGAGAGACCGGAGCAGGGGACAGGAGCCATCTGCTCCAGAGCCCGGGGTCTGCGTCTGGAGACAGCGAGTGACAAACAGGGTTAATGTCCCGTGAGCGGGAGCTGTCACTCTGTGTTAGGGCCTGGCTTCCACCTTCCACAGCGCAACATTCCAGCGGGGATCACACGGCACCGGCAAACCGGGACGGGACCACGACCAGAGAGGCCACTCTGGTGGGACTGTGGTGTCAGGAAGGGCCTGTCCCTCCTGGCTGTCATGGTCCTGCCCCCAGGCTCTGCTCTGGTGGGACGGGAGGGCAGGGAGCGGAGCAGGGCCCTGGGAAACAATCCCACGGGGTCCTGGGTGACGCAGGGACCGACCGGCGCCGTGCCAGCGACCTGAGCCGAGCATGGGGTGTTCATTATTGAAGGCTGGGGCAGAGTTACCACGGGCACCAGGTGTCCTGTTTCTGCCAACACCAGCCTGGGAGGACATCGGCTGTCACAGGAACCTCCGTCCTCCGTCCTCCCTGTGCGGCTTCACCGGGGCCCAGTGACCCACAGACACAAACACACACCAGCACGTGCCGTGCCCGCTCCAAAGGAACAGCCAATTTATTGTCGTATAAAGTGAGAATGTAAAAGGTCCCTTAAACCAAACACGGATGGGTCAGGCAGTCCCGGTGGCCCCCACACTGCCCGGGGGGAGCAGCCCAGGGGGGCCTCGGGGGGTCCCCCCAGCCCCTCTTGTCCGCAGCCGGTTGTAGAGGGGGAAGGAGCTGCCGTGGGGCTGCGGGGACGCCCGGATGGGAGCTGGGGCCGAGGCGTTTGTGCGTTGCAGAGCTCCTGGTCTGCGCTGGAATTAGGCACTTGTGGAAGGGTGCGGGCGCTGCTCCCGGCCGGCTCCGTCCCACAGCTCCCCATGGCACTGGGAGGACGGGCAGGGGCCGGGGCTGGAGCCCTGCCTGTGCCAAAACACACTGCCCACACCAGGGGCTGAGGCTGGGCCAGGTCTGGCCCGGTACAGAGGAGGTTCAAGCAGCTTTGGTTGGTGCTCTTGGTGAATTAAGGCAATTTATCTTCAGTTGGTTTAAAAAAAGGTCAAAACCAGCAAAAACCAGCTCTCCCAGGGGCCAGACGTGGGTGGAAGAGTCTGGGTCTGCTCTGGCTTTGCTCTGAGTCACCACTTGGACCCTGCACACCTAAAGGTGGGCACTGACCCCCTCCTGTGCCAGCCCTGTGCCCAGCCTTGCCTCCACCACTGCCACAGGGAACCTGCAGCCCAATACTGGAAGTGCCCAGAAGGGACTCTGGAGCATTTTTAGGGGAGATTCAGGCTCCTGCCAGTGGTGCGGGAGTGGGGAGAGGGCGGAGGAGCCGCAGCGGCTCCTTCCATCCCATTTCCCATCACAGTGACTGGTCGGCAGCTTGTGAGGTGGGAGCTCCCCTCCGGCAGCCGAGGGGAGCAGGGGGTGAGGGTGCTTCAAACACCCACCCCCGTGGTCCCTGGGGAGCACTGAGGGGAAACTGCTTCCCCCGACATCCCAGCAGGGCTGTACCTACTGCCTGGACCCCTCAGTTCCCCTCCATCAGCACCCACACCCCTTGGTGGCCCCAGAGGGCTCTGCCCTGGGGAGCTCATTCCCCATTTGGTTCTTATTCCCCACATTCCAAGGGGGAAGGCTCTGGGTTCGCCCACCAGTGACCCCTTCTCTGGGTGGGGACCCCCACGCCCCTTGCCCCACCTGGCCTGGGGTGCTGGGAAGGGAGCAGGGAGCAGCAGGGGCCGAAATGGGAGATGGGGTGGCACAACCCACACAACAGCTGGAGCTGGAGCTGCTTTTGGCCTCTCCCAGCCAGGGTGTTCCCAATTCCTGTCCCATCCTTTGGTCCCACTGGCTGCAGTCACAGCCCATGACCCCCCAGGGTCGGTGACCCAGCAGGGCACTGCCCTCACAGCCCTCCTGCTCCTTCCCACTGCCCTCCCAGCAGGGAGCCAGGCCCAGGCCAGCCTGTGAGGGATGGAAACACCGATTCCGTTAATGCCCCAAGGGATCTCTGCGAAGGAAATACAAAAGTTTTACATGAGGTCCAAACGTCCAGGTCGGTTGGAGCAACGGCCACGTGCCAGGGAGATGCTCCGGGTCCTCCATAACATGGGAGGACACTGTGGATGCTCCGTGCTCACGGCTGATATCCATCCCTGGCCACAGCCACCAGAGCCAGGGACTCACCGGCCACGGCTCCCGCTGCCAGGAGGAGAACGGGGCAAATCCACGAGTATCTCTGTGCGACGCCGGTGGCTGTGACAGCTCCTGCTGCCACGAGCGGCTGTTCCCCGGCCCTGTGCGTCCCCGTGTCCCGCAGGATGCCGGTGCTCACACCACAGTGCTGATGGTGGACGACTCCTCCGAGCGCCGCTGTTTGCTGGGCAGCGACTTGAGGTACTCCAGGTGCCTCCGGGCGTCCTCCTGGTTCTGCCGCACGTAGTACACCAGGTAGGAGATCACCATGGCGAACCAGCCGAACATGGTGACCAGCATGGCGATGTCCGTGGTCTTCTTGTACACGTTGCAGAAGTCCGTGTCGGCGATGACCTGCAGGAAGGCTTTGCCCACGTGCTCCTCCTGCGCCGAGGAGTCGCAGACGATGCCGCCCGAGGAGCCGGCCACCAGCTCCACGGTGCGGATCAGCTCCTGCAGCCGGCAGTCACACAGCCACGGGTTGTTGGACAGGTTCACCTTGGCCTTCAGGTTGCTGAAGGCGTCTTTGCTGACCGACACCAGCCTGTTGGAAGACAAGTCCAGGGAGTGCAGGTGCTCTGCCAGGCCTCGGAAAGCCCCGCTCTCCACGCTGGCGATGGCGTTGTGGGACAGGTCCAGCTCCAGCAGGAGCGGCAGGTCCCGGAAGGCGTCGCGGGGCAGGAAGGGGATGCGGTTGGAGTCCAGGTAGAGCTTGTTGGTGTCGTTGGGGATGTCTCTGGGGACCTCGGTCAGCCGAGCGTTGCTGCAGCGGAAGGTCTTCAGCCCCTCCTCCTCCGAGGGGTAGCAGCCCTTGGGGAAGGCGGTGGCCGGGCGGAGGCAGCAGCCCAGGAGGAGGAGGAGGAGGAGGAGGAGGCTGTGCAGGAGCAGCCCCATGGTGACCGGGCGGAGGAGGACCCGCTCTGCCACAGGCATCGTGCCGTGCTGCCTTTGCCTTCCTCACACCCCCGGGGGCTTCAGCTGGACTCGGCACATCTGAGAGGGGATAGCAAGGGGACAGTGTCAGGCCAGGGGGGTCAGGGGCAGAACCGTCACTGTGCTGACTGTGGGTACCGCACCTGACCCTGGCCAGGGGACAGGGACGGGGATGGGGACCGGGACAGCCGTCACGGCTCACGCATCCCCCCATCCCCGGCCAACACCTCGCTCGGGGCTCCTGCGAGGCAGGATCAGGTCCCAGGGCCTGAGCACGTCTCCCGCGCCGGCAGCTGGGCTGTAACAACCGGAGACGCTCGGGCTGAGCCAGAGGCGGGGGTGAGATCCCGCCCTGCCAAGGTCACGGCGCTGCGATCGCTGCTCGCAGGAGGCCGATCCATCCTGCGGCGGCCGGAGGACGCACCAGTGCGAGCCCTGGCTCCGGGCGAGCGGCCGCTGCCGGCAGCCCCCGGGGAATGCCATGGAAAACATGTGCGGGCAGCGGCTCAGCAGGTTCCCGCTCCCGGCTCCGCTCCCCGGCAGCGCCCGGGGCACGGGAGGACGCGCGCCGGGTTCTCTCCTTTCGAGGTGACTGGCACGGGTGGGTGCTGGGTGCGCCTGTCCCCCGCTCGCTGCCGCCTCGGCCGTGGGGTCGGGCTGCCCACACCACCCCGTAACCCTGGGCCCCACGCAGCCCTTGATTCTGGAGGGGAAAAACGTCAGCAGGAAAGAAACAAAAACAGAAAAAGGAAATTCACTGGAGCTGAGCGTGCAGTGAGTTCCCAGGGTAGTGGCAGCAGATAAGGGCCGTGTCCGAGGGCTCCGAGCGCTGCCCGGCTCTCCCAGCCCTGGCTCCCACCACGTCCAGGGGCCCCAGCCCGTCCCTGCGCCGGCCGCAGCGCTGGAGCCCCGGAGGGAGGATCCAGGTGCTCTCCCACCATCCCACAATCAAAGACACCGCCTGTGGCACCCGCTCAGGCAGCTCAGTGCTGCTGGTCACCAGGCACCTCCTGGGCAAAGCTGCTGCAGGTCCCACCTCCCCCCGCTCCCCGGAGCATCCCAACGCCGGCAAACCCGTCTCGGGGTGTTGACTGGGGGTCCCCGGTGCAGGGTAGAGGCGCCCACCCGAGGGTGGCCCCCAAAGCACAGCACCTCGAGCTCTGGGCACTGTCACCAAGCCCGGCCGCGCCGAAACACCCCAAGGTCACACCTGTGTAGAGTCGACCCCTGCTCTGCCGGAGCCCCGGGACCTGCGGGGGTCCTGAGCGGGCACCAGCGCTCAGAGCACCCCAGGGGCACCGGGACCCCACAGTCCCCCACTGCACCAGCCCCCTAGGTCTGCCAGAGGTAACCCGGGACAAACGCAGCCCCCTGAGACCCCCCTCCCGCTGCCCGGGAACCGCCGGACTGAGCCGGGATCTGATGCCCCGGGATGGAGCTGCTTCATCCACGGGACGGGGACACCCCGCGGGTGGGATGCGGACCAGGCACCGCAGCGAGGACGAGCGCTGCCAGCCCCTTACCCACCGCGGGGTCCCCAGCCCGCAGCAGGGTGCGGGAGTCCCCAGCCCGACCCCGGTGATCGCCGCCAGCCCCGGGGAGGGCGGTTGAGGTACCGGGGGCGGTGCGGGCGCCAGGACCCGCCGTGCGCCCGGGGATGCCCGGGGATCCCCCCGGCCCGGGGGCGTCGCGGGCGAGGGAAGCCCCGGTGCTTCCCCGGGGGAAGCTCCGCTCGGCGCGGCGCTGCCGCCCCCCCCCCCGCCTCCTCTCGCCCCGCCGGGGGTCCCGGTGCGGACTCACCTGCCTGTGCAGCCCCGGCGGCGGAGCGGCCCCGCGCCCCGGGCCGGAGCGGCCGCGCCCCGCGCAGCGCGGCGGGCCCGGAGCCGGCGGCGGCGGCGGGGCCGGTGGGCGGGATCCTCCGCCCGGGCCTCCCCGGGGCTCCCCGCCCCCGGCCCGCCCCGCCGGGGGGGCCGTGCAGCGCCGAGCACCCCCGGCCCCGCGCCCGGAGCCATCACAGCTCCTCGCCCCGAGGGAGAGGAGCTGCCCCGGGTCCTCAGACCGGGAGGGGCGGGGGACACACCAGGAGACCCAGCGAGGAGCTGCCGGGACCCCCGAGCCCGGGGCAGCCGGTGTCAGAGGCTCTGGGGGTGCTTCACGCCCCCCGCCCTGCCGCGTCCCCCCAAACCTCAGTGGGAGACCCCTCGACCCCGACCGGCCCCCTCAGGGCGCTCCGCGCCCCCAGCGCTGCCCTCGCTTCCCCCCTGGACCTTCCCGCCCCCTCCCCAGCTCCTCGGAGGGAGCAAGACCCCCCCCCAGTCCCACCCCGACGGGGTCACCGTGCCCCCCCGCCCGGCACCGGCATCGCTTACTCGGGGAAACCCGACCTGAGGCAGCGGCACCGGGGGGGCGGGAGCCGAGGGGGGGCCGGAGCGGGTCCCCAGCCCAGCCCTGGACTGCCCGGGTCGAAAGTCGCTGGGCTGGGCCGGGGCTCGGGGTCCCGCCGCCCCGGGGCACCGGCGGGGCCTGCTCAGGACCATGGAGAGCGGCCGCCGTTACCGGGCCCCGGGGCCGCCGGCCGGGACGCGGCTGCCCCGGCCCCGAGCACTGACGTTCTCCCGCTGCTCCGGGAGTATAAACCAGTTAGGAGGCGCCTGGCCTGGATCTCGGCTCAATTAGGGGAAGGGAACCTGACGGCAGCCAGACACGGCCGCGGGCAGATGGTCCCCGGAGCCCCCCGAGCTCCGCCGGGGCCATCACGGGGGCTGCGACCCTGGACTCGATCAGAAAACGTGTGGATGTGGCACCTGAGGACACGGGGTAGTGGTGAAGGTGACAGTGCCGGGTTAGTGGTTGGAGTCGATGATCTTGGAGGTCGTTTTGATGATTCCATGACCCGAGCCAAACCCAATGCTGGAGCGGTGCTGGGCTTGCCGGGCAGGGCTGTCCCGGGACACGGCCGGACCCCGGCAGGTGGCAGCCGGCAGCCACGGTCGGTGCTCTCTGGCACTCCACTGGCATCTCCCCATTCCACTGGGGAGCAGAGCAGCCCCGTGCTGCCCATCACCATTGCCAGTGCCACCGGGAGCCATGCACGGAGTAGGAGCCGTGCTGGGATGTGGCAGTGCAGTGCCAGTTCCAGTGCCACAGACACGGGGACAAGGGGACAGGCAGGGGCTCGGGGGGCTTGAGCTGGAACCCCAAGGGATGGGTGACTCCAGCTGCAGGCCAGACACGGGAGCAGGAGCAGCTCCAAAGGGGTCCCACATGGAGGATATGACACCCACCAGCCCAAACCCTGCAGTGCAGCACGACCCACGCGGACCCTTCCCACTGCAGGATGGCTAAAAATAGCCAGAACCGGCTCCTCGCTGCCACCACGGAGCTAAATATAACCAGCATCGACCGGGCAGTGGGACCGGCAGCTGGGAGAGCGGGAGCTGAGCACGGCCCGGCACCGGGAGCGAGCGAGCGAGGCCTGGGAATCCACACAGGAACAGCCCCCCGAGCACGGCGGGAACGCGGGTGCAGCTGCCGGTGAGCAGGTTGGGGCCGGATCCCCCGGGAACCTCCCGCCCCCAGTGCCGGCGTTCCCTGGGCAGTGGATGCAGTGTGGGGAGCCCGGGGAGCGGGTCCCCCCCGCGTTCACACCGGCAACGGCGGCTGCTGCATCACGGAGAGGGATGAATATTTATGGGCGTTTAAAAATAGCTGCTGCATTGTGCTTCCCCCTCACGTGCGGAGCCAGCGGGGTGCGGGGAAGCTGCTAAATTAGATGTCACCGCGCAGGGAGCTGCTCAGTCAGGCAGGAGTGGGATAAAAATAGAGCCTGCTGTGCGTGCGTGGATCTCCTGCAAAGCAGGGCCGGATCCCGTGGGATCCCCCGCCTCCGCACGCCGGCATCCCCACACCGTGCCCTGCCACGAGGACACCCCGGAGGAGCCGGGCAGGGACAGGGCTCCTCAGGGTGGCAGCCACACCACCCGTCAGTGGCCCTTCATCTGCTTTACCCATGAGTGTGTGTGTCCCTCTGTGCCCAAAGGCCTCTGCGAGCAGACGCTGCCAAGGCCTGGCTCAGGGAAGTGACCCCGTGCCCTGCCAGCAGCGTGGTGCCAGCGTGTGATGCCCTGGCAGTCCCGGCCCTGGCAGCTGGCAGGGTCTCCATGCCCTCGCCGTGCCGAGAGCTGGATGTGCAGCTGGAGCCAAGGCCGGATGGACATACATGGGGTCAGGATGTGCAGCTCAGCCTGGAACCCCCAGGGAGGCCCAGGGGCACCCAGAGAACTCCGATCTCGCTGGAACCCACCCAGGCCAACACCAAACCCACTGTGCCAAGCGGCTGGGGGGATTGAAGTGTCTGTGCCAGGCCGGGGGCACCGGCTCTGAGTGGCACCGGCAGAGCCACATGTGCAGGGTAGGCAGCCACCACTGCCAGGGCTCAGCTTGGGGGCTCAGCCCGGGACCCCAGCGCAGCTCCGGGCAGGGGGTTTGCAGCCCACAGTGGCCACGGCGCTGGCAGAGCCGGCGGGCACACACGGAGCCCTGCACAGATGGCTGTGGCCCCCGGGGGCCGTGCCAGCCCCACGCGACAAGCTCTGATGGTTGTGCAAACAAAAGCGTGGCCAGATGGTCTCCCCCCTGCACTCCAGCGCTGGAATCCTGCGCTCGCTCCCAGCCTCGACCTTGGCTGGGTGTCCCGCAGCGCTGCCGGCCTGCACAGCACTGCTGCCGGGATTTTCATGGAGTCATGGAATCAGAGTAGTTTGGGTGGGAAGCGACCTTAAAAAAAACCCATTTGCGCCTCTGGCCATGGGCAGGGACACCTTCCACTAGCCCAGGTTGCTCCAAACCCCATCCAACCTGGCCTTGGACACTCCCAGGGATGGGGCAGCCACAGCTGCTCCAGCGTGGCTGGGGGAAGCTGCTCCAGTGTCCCCCCACCCTCCGTTTGAGGGTGGCGGGGGGAGTGTTCGCCCACCCTCCCCGGGCACCCAGCCGGGTCTGGGGCTCCACGAGCGGTGCAGCCGCTCCAGCCGCTTTCCCGGCGCCGCTTTCCCGGCGGTTCCCGCGGCGGCCCCGCCTCTGCCGGCGCTGCCGGACTACAGCTCCCGGCGTGCCGGGCGGGGCGGGCCGAGGGGCCGCCGGGAGCGCAGCGGGAGAGCGGCGGAGCGAGCGCCGGTCCCGCCGAGCCGAGCCGGGCCGGGCCGTGCGGGAGCGGTGAGTGCGGGCCGGGGACGGGCCGGGGGGCCCAGCCCTCCCTGCGGGCCGCGGGGGCCGAGCCCCGCGGCGGGGCCGGGGGAAAACGCCTCGCTTGGGCCCGGCCCGAGAGGAAAACACCCCAAAAGAGAGAAGCGGGCGCTGGGAGGGAGCTGGGACGCGGCGGGGTGGGAGTGGGGGGTCCCCCAGGGCGGGGGTCGCGCTGTGCACAGCCCGGCCGGGAGCGGGTCCTGCCACAGCCCCCCGGGGCACCGGCCCGGCCCGGGGAATCGGGGAGGGAAGAGGAGTCCGGACCCGGAGGAGCCCAGCCTCGGCCTTCCCTGCGGGTCTAAGATTTCCCGTTAAATCCAGGAGAACAGGCTGAGATGGGCAGAGCCCCCGCCCCTGGTCGGGGCGGCTCATCCCTGTTCGCGTCCCCGTGTCCCCCCCGGGCTCTGCCAGCCCCGGGACCCCCAGGAGGGACCGGGCAGCGCTGGGGCTCAGACGAGTCCAACGCGGCTCCGGGGCGTTTTGTTCCCAGTCCCACCCAGCAGCCGCCTCCCAGCACAGCCCAGTTCACCAGTGCCCTCCGCTCAAACTCCGATGCCATCAGCAAAGAAGGGTTTAAAGGATTTGTTTGGGAGATGGGGATTGCTGTTGCTGCCAGAGGTCGGGATCTGATCCGTGGGATCATCACCACCAGCAGCCTGGGAACACTGGGGAGATCAAGACCTGAGCCCTCTTTACCTCTCCAGCCCGGGTGAAGGTCCTGCAGTGGAGTGCTGGGATTGGAGCACGATCCTGCAATCCCTGGGGAAGAGTGACAGCCCTGCCAAGTTATAGGATCGCTTATTTAGAGTGGAAAGGGCCTTTAAGGTCATCAAGTCCAAGTGTTAAGCAAGGGGATGGGAACACACGGTGATCACACTCCTCTGGGGGCAAAGGTGGGGAAGAAGCTGCACCTGGACAGGGAGCAGGACACGGGAAAGATGGAGCAGAGAGAGGGCTCGGCTCTGGCATCACGCTGTGCCCTTTGCCACTGGCCACAGCTCTGACTTTTCCCCTCCTTGGATGGCCAGTGTCCAATGTCAGCACAGCCTCGACCTTCACCCTCCGTCTGGTGCAACAGTCAGGCTTTTCTGTCCCAAAAAAGAGTGGGAGAGCAGAGCCTGGCAGCAGCTGCTCCAGGAAGGAGGGGCTGGAGTCCCTCCCATGGGGGGCTGTGCCTTGTTTTCCTGCAGGTGAACAAATCCTGCTGTGGAAACAGAAAGCAAACATGGGATGAGGGTGGGGGTAGGGAGCTCTGGACAATGCCCTCAGCCCTCAGCCAGGCTTGTGCAATCCGAAATTTGGCAGAACTGGGGCAAGGGCTGCACAGCCCAGGGCAGAGCTGGAAAGATCTGCAGGTGAAACATTTAAGGTGGGGAAGGACAGAGTTTGGAGACACAGAACTACCCTCATGGAGCACTGAATGTTTGGCATCTCCTTATCTCCTGCAAGAATGAGTTAACCTCTCCTGTGTTCCAGCTTTTGACCCCTCTATTCCTTAATTTTACAAGGAAGGGAAACTGAGGCAGGAGGAGAGGAATTGCTTCACGTACAGCTTCCAAGTTGGGCCCTTCCCACCCCACTGTGGGTCTGCAGCCGC